TTATTAATAAAATTTATATTATTTATTAACCTCTTAAAAATAATATTATTAAATTATTAATAGTGAATAATATTATTTATGTATTTAATATTAATATAATAGTCTAATAATATTTTAATAAAAATCGTTAAAATATATTTATTAATAATTTTAAAAATATAATATAGTAATTTTATTTTAATATATATATATATATTTAATATAATTTATAATATTTTTAATAGAATATACTAGTCTTAATACTTTTATTTATAAAATTAGAGAAATAATATTTTAATAATAATATTGACATAAATACTATTAAATAAACTATTCTAATATGTTTAAAATAATAGTATTATGTTTTTATAATAAATAATATTATTTATTATATTTCATATTTGTAATAAATAATTTCTAGAAAATTTATCAATTAGTGAAAATGGTTTATACAACATCTTCTAAATACCGTGAAACATTTTTCAGAAAAATGTTTTTGAGAAGATAAATTCATTTAACATAAAACATTTTTCAGCAAATGTTTTCAGTGAAATAAACAGACCCTAATTGTATGAATAAGCTTGAGGATACTTGAACATTCCTACCCTATCTTTGGCTACTTGGAAGCTTCAATTGAAGTTTCAAGTGTAAACAAATCTAGGAGTTTCAAATGTAAACAAATCTAGGAAAAGGACGGTTCATTTTTTTCACTACAACCTCAAATTCTGCATCTCTATTCTTCTTAGCACATGAATTCAACGAATAGATATTTATAGAAAAAAATAAAAATATTTAATTAGTATTTCTAAAAATTGTTTGGATGAAAACACATACATTACATATACGTATGATGAGATCGAATTTAATCACTCAAATTATTATTTGTTAACATCATAGAATCCTTAGTTTGAAATACGTATAAACCTTGCTTTTGGTGAAGGAAAATGAAAACAATGACGCTTTCCGGATTTCAATAGCCCCATGCCTTTGCTCAGTGGCCACTACTTTATTCTCTTAACATTCTTTAAACATCGCCATTTCATTTCACTAAACTTTTAGCTTCTCTCATACAAACCCTTTCAATGTCTATCTTGAGTCAACACGGTTGTATCGAGGTCTCTGACTCAGGTTCCGACTAGCCGACGATTGAGCCCGACTGCTCGTTTGACATGTTCAGCTGTTACCACGGCCAAGCTAGAGTCCAGTTGGAACCGGTTGGTCATTGGGCCACGGCTTGAGACTAAACCGGACCTGGTTACTATGGTTATCCCTAGCGGTGGCCCTCCTTTGCCAAATGACCCAAGTTTGCAATCAACATGGTCTCACCGGGCATGGGTGGCAAGTGGTTGCACAACACTTGTTTTTTCACTAGCCAAGACTCATATGGGTGCAGCTGATTCTCATATGTTGCTCGAACCTATGATAGCAGGCTATGTTGGGTATATTTTAGCCGACCTTTTGTCTGGTGTTTACCATTGGGGGATTGACAATTACGGTGATGCATCGACTCCGGTTTTCGGTTCTCAAATTGAAGGATTCCAGGGCCACCACAAATGGCCCTGGACTATCACCAGGCGCCAGTTAGCTAACAACTTACATGCATTGGCTCGTAGCATAACTTTCATAGTGCTTCCTATAGATATTCTTTGCAATGACCCTGTTGTTCAAGGATTTGTTACCACGTGTGCTGGTTGCATCATGTTTAGCCAACAATTTCATGCCTAGTCTCATGGCACCAAGAGCAAGTTCCCTCCATTGGTGGCGGCGCTACAAGATGCTGGTGTACTTGTCTCTCGGACGCAACATTCTGCACACCATAGGCCTCCGTAAAACAGCAACTACTGCATCGTGAGCGGTGTCTGCAATGAGTTTCTGGACAAGAACAAGGTTTTCGAGACTTTAGAGATGATTATATTTTTCAAGCTTGGGGTGGGACCCAGGTCTTGGAGTGAGCCTGGAACTGAATGGATAGAAGAGACGGATGAGGCTGACTCTTAAGTTACAGTTCATTGAATTTTTTCGCCTTTTCTATAATAAGAAAATTATAAGCAAACATTCCAATGACATATGTCAATGATTTGTTTTTGTGGAGTTCAGGATTTGATGTATAGATGATATACTCATGGGCTTCTCCTGCAATAAAATACATTATTAGAAAAGGCTTGAAGATATTATACATTTTGCAGGTAGAATTACCATGTATCCTTCTCTGTTTTCCTCTGGTGGAACTTTTGGTTTCACGCGGTCTAATTATGGTTTTAGTACATTCTCTATGTTCAAATTTGAAATTTAATCATTCTACTTTTTATTTACTATAGTATGATCCTTTATTTTTTTATAATATTAATAGTAGTTATAACTTATAAATTGATAATGCAGTTCTACTTGGAATTTAGTAACATTGTTAATTGTTTTCATTAAAAATAATTATGAAATACTTTTTACTAGGCAACCTACAAATCTAATTATAGTTACATAATAATAAACTTATATCAAATGAATGCTGTTATAAAAAAAATCATCTCAATACTTTAATGTAAGAAACTGTTGTTATTTTGAATTTGGACTGTCAAATTTAAATAGAATTATTAAAATTCTAACATAGTATAAGGACTATATCACAATTACACCGTTTCTAGTTCATAAATTCAATTGATTAAGTAAAATAAAGCGTGCTTTTCTTGTCAACAATCAGAGTGGCGCAGCGGAAGCGTGGTGGGCCCATAACCCACAGGTCCCAGGATCGAAACCTGGCTCTGATAAGTGTTTTGCTTTCTTTTTCCATTAATTTGTGATTTGGGCTATCTGCTACACGCTATGGGTCTTGTCGTGATTTACTTTTTTCTTTTTATATTTTGCAATATATCTGGAAATAATATGTTTCATATTTCTAGTTCATAATTACATTTCAATATGTAAAAAAGAAAAATCAAACTTTATTTGATTGCACTGTTACATATCACCTTACAACAATTTTAAGGCACTCATAATTCTTTCTTCATGTATATAATCCGTGCTTGTCAAAGGTAGACCACAGCACGGAACAAGGTGAACCATCATCAGAAACATTCACTTTTTCCCGGTATTCCGAAGCACATATAAGTTACAACGTTATTGTTTGCATCTGTGTAAGACATGTAAGATTGCGACTAAAAGTATACTTATTCACTAGCAGTTTCTCTGCAGTAGGACGGGGACACTGAGGGTTGGTATACGAATGGTCTGACAGCGTGGAAATGAGCTGATGGGCGATTATAGGTCAACTTGATGCCGGTACTGCGTTCCCCGGGATGGTTGTAGTGGTAGTGACAAGCATGCATTCTCGTGCTTTGTTTCTGCCACGGTATATACCCCCCTTAGCGTTTGTGAAAGCCTGGTAGTTTACTACTTCGTCGGGTTTTGTAAAGTACAACCACCTCAACACCTGCAATAAGACATTTATTTTACATAAATATAAGGCAAAACCGATAAATCTGATTGATGATTCATATACTTCAAGATTTGGTTTAAAATATTAGTTGAGGATTCTATGGAAAAACCCTAAGAGAATGAAACGAAACCAAAGATCATGAACATATTCCACTATTCGATATTTTAAGCCATTAGAGAATTGCTTACACAAAACTGACTCAGAGTCGAGCAATCAACTCAAAGACCCTTCTAATACACTATAATAGCAGTTTAAAAATCATTTAACCACACACACCAGTATCTAGCAAACACTAATCATAGAAGCAATTTAATTAAATAAAGTAAATCATAGAAAAATCACTCAAACAAACAACATTTAGTGAAGTAACCAGACCATCAAAAAGTTAATTTTAGAAAAAAATTCTCAACCTAAGCATAAAATGTGTCAATCCAATACGATAATACTTGGTCAAATTTAATGAAATACATCTCAAGGTAGCATAGGATCAATACTTAATTAAAAATGGTGTAAATTTTGTCACTATCTAAAATCCATAAATCTGTCAACAAGTGAAAGAACCATAATTGCAACAAAAAGATCCACTTCAAAATTCAGTTAAAAAACACAATCGAACCAATCAAATGACTACAATCATAAAATAAAAAGAAAGAACATAGAGAAAATGAGAGATACCTACCTTTTAAAGCATGATTTTCAGGATCAATAGAAGAATAAACGTCATATACAATTTATTATGAATCTCACCGGTTTAAGATTTGACACATAAGATCAATAATACAACTAGTACAACAAAATCCAGAACCATATTCTTACTCTTTGATTCTATGTGTCTCATTTTTCAATTGAGCTAACAAAGAACCGATATATGTTTGTTTATTTATCTACAATTTCTCTTTATATATATAAAGCATAAGTTGAGAAAAATGGGAGTATTATATAAACTCGCTAATGATTCATTATATTATGTAACTAATATAGAAAATAAATTTAAGATATTGTTAAATTTTATGGTTGATTTGAGGGATTTAGTGGATCTAACTTGGACCAATTTGTCTAACCTTTGCTGGCTATAACTTTTCTATGGTTGATTTCTAAATTTCAATGCAAACCAAGAAGTTGATTTGGGCTAGAAAATGCTAAAGATGGCTTCCATCCAACTAGGCCCAGGCTTAAACACTAGGCCATGGCTAATTGTTATTTAGTTATACATGGAGGAGAAGAAATGAGTCAATTCTTACTTTATCATCTACTTCTATAAAGCAACTGAAACCCTAATCTCTGACTTACCAAAAGCTTAGCATAGCATTCTCTGTATCCATCATTCATCTTCTTTTGCTTTTCCAGAGATGTCTTTTCATTAATAGTGTCCTTTCTTCTGTTTTTAATCTACGGATGCGGTGGTTCTGGAAGTAAAGATATCTTATTTATCAACAATCGTAGTTTTTTAATACCCAATGATGAATTTCTAATTTATTTTAAAAGTTGATAACCTGATTTATCTTGATGAAATATATGATTTTGAGGGATGCTATTCTTTTCAGTTTCATCTCATTTTTAATTGTTTTCTTTATGCTTCTAATTTGGTATGAATCCCTGTGAAGAACAATTTCCATAATTAAAAGTAGTGGGCTGATGTCTCCATTGATGAACAATGAGTCTGAGGGAATCATACTCATAGTTTACCACTAAATTGAAGTTGTTGGTAGCATTCATTTTCTGTTCATTGTTTACTTGTTTTTAACGCTTGGATTCACTTTTTCTCTTCGTGTGCTTGAAACTGTTTGTTTTGAAGTTCCCTTTTCTAAGTGATTCTAAACCTGGAAAAAAATATAGATAAAGTACTTGGTTCTTAGCCTGGTATTCTATGTTATTCTTTATCGATCACTTTACCGGTTTGAATCCTATGATGATTGAAATGCCAGTTTTTTAAGCTTCGGTGATTAGCTTCTAAGCATTGCCGTTGAGATTCTAATGTTTTCGGTGTCTTTTAACGCTGTGTTGAGGTCTAATCTGCCTGATTTCGATTTAGTTTGTGTTCTGCTAACAGGGTAGATATGAAAAATCTTTCAACATTTGGAAACAGATAGTTTGTTTATTTGTATGAGCGAAGGGTGTTGATCAATGAAGAACTGAAGAGAAAGATGATGGCAGGGAAATTGAAATTAACTAAAGATTAAAAAAGCAGCTCAAAATTCATGGATGTTGTTGTTAGATACTGCAATGAAGCTTTTCTTTTTCTTGCTGTAACATGTTTGAACCAACTTGATTCACCAAAAGTTAAGCATTAAGTTATCGAGTGGATGATCAGATATTACAAAAAAAAAAAAACAAAAAAAAAAACAATGACTAATCCAAATGAATGACTTGAGTTAATACGTGCTTCCAGATCATCTAGCCATGTTGTTTCATTTGGACAACCACTGCTTCCCAACTTTACATCACTTGCAGCTACCATTTATTCTCCATTTGCAGCCTATTCTTCTCCAAGTGTTGTTATCATCTTGCATCTTGGGAGCTCATTATCTGCAACTGAACATTGACATGAAGAGTTGTCTGAAGCACCTCGACTTTCCGTATTGTCAAACTTGTCATTAGATTTCAACATTTCTGATATTGTCTGTTGATCTTCATCATCAGAATCCAATGAAAGACTTTGAGGATGATTAGCCGAATTCTCATGATTTCCACCCATTTTCTTTGGTCCATGACTGTATCGCTTGTAAACCTGATGTGGTTTGCTAACAGAGCATTTGGAAGGAAAAGCAGGAGGAACCTTTAGGTTAGCTTTATCTTCATTAAAAGAACATCTGGCTTGCTGCATGTCTGCTTTGGGAGGAAAACCAGGAGGAAATGGAGAATTCTTCAGTTCCATCTGAATTACATAAACCAGCTGTGATTCTTTTAAAGGTTTGGAAAGTGTTATGACCTAGTGTGATTAGAGAAGAAAATTAGAAGAAGAAGACAGAAAAGAGATAAATGAAGAATAAAGAGAATAAAGATTAAGGAGAGAAAGAAGAGATTCAAAGAAGTTTACAATTCATTCAATCAAATCATGGCTTTCTCCTCTTCTAGTATATGGTTTTATATAATTATAATGTACTAAGGCTAACGTTTGCTTGACAGCTAAGGAAGATTCTTTTCCTGGGATGTCAATTGAATTACCATTGAGCCTCATTTCTCTAATTTCATTTTATTTGCTAGCATATCAGGTGATTCATTTCCTTCTCCCTGAATTTAAGAATTTTTAATCCCTAATTCCATGTTCTCTTTCACAATCCTTAATTCATTTCTGAATCCCCAATGCCCTTCGTCTCATGCTTTTTCTATTCTCTCCAATTTTTTACAATTCCTCCCTCTATAGATGATCATTGCCCCCAAGGATAAAAAACCTAGGACTTGTGCTTTAAGTACAATATAATTTACCACAGTGACGTTTTTAACTCTAAATTTATCCACTGCACTTGATTGTGCTTCTTCTCTCTATGTTTGTCGAGCACCATAGAACTATAGAACCTTGTTGTCAACTTTAATCCCTTACGAATAACAAGTGAGGTTTGATGATAAGATTGAAATTTCTTGTAAACTCGGCCCCCGGCCTTCAAAGTTCTAAATGTCAATTTTTTATTCGCATAAATTTCCATTTTGCTTTGCGCCTTTACGCCTTGAACAATTTCTTTGATGAATTGAGATAACAATTTCCTCAATACATGACCACCCTTATGAGATTTTGGGACCTTCCACTTGATTATGCATTCCTCTTCATCTTGAGAACCCAATGATTCATCCAGTCGTTTTTCGAACAATAACCTTGCCAATGTAAGCACCCACTTGATATCAGTTTGGTTTGATGCCCCGGATTCTAAAGATGAATCATTGGGCTCTTTGAAACCATTATTGTCAGTATCAATATTCACAGACCCAATTAAATCTTCATTAATAACTTATTCGAGAAGATTCCCTAAACTCACTTTTGTAAGTCCAAAAACTCGTTCTGACTCAAGTAATTACTTGGAAAAAGAGGCCAGAGCAAGCAAGGTAGTCTCCCTTAGCTTCCACCAAAGTACATAACCACCAGTATTTTCTTGTTTAAATTCACTAGATCTTTTCCTTACAACACTAATAGCATTAATACCTTCTTCCTCACAACAAATAACCACCTTTTATATTAAAAGTGCGTCAGTGACACGATAGCTATTATTGACATCATCCTCATCCACTACCATTTAGTTGGCATCCGTCGATCACATATAGACAAGCAGTTCTGTAACTTGCAGAAAAGCAATAGCGTATTATACCAATTATGCAATATTATTTGCAACGATCTTTACCAATTTTGTGCGACTCATAATAGCCAACAGGAACTCGAGCAGCTGAACAACGAAGAGATCAAAACTTTTCTATGTATCATCAGAGTCATCACTACCCTCATAGGAATCCTCATTTGCTACCATAAGGTACTTATAAACAAAAAACTTGTATAAATCTTTGAGAACATTTTCTGAGATTTTTTATGAACCATTATTAGTCTCCTCATTGAAGTTCAAGTTATAGGTTGTAAGTGCTCCATAAAATTCAGATACAGTAACATTCATTCTAATAACAATTTTGTCTGTGTAACTAGCTTTAGCAAAGGCAATTCGATCAAGCCCTTTATTCTTTTCATGAATAGTAAGAGTAGTAAAATCACCTTTATCACCGACAGTTGTTGCTTTTTGACCATACTTCTTCTCGATAACAATCTGTAGTGATGGTAGACTTCCACATCCCTCTTCCTGGCCCTCTTAAAGGATGATGCTCCAATAAGGAGAATCATCAACTAATGCATAGCAAGTTTATTTATTGGATGTGAACCACCATTAATGAAATTGAAAGCAGGGACTAACATGATCAACTTCTGGTTACCAAAAAAGTTAGAAATGTATTTATAAGCAATAATGTTCTTGACTTCAACTCCAACTTGGTAAACAATAAGGGAAACCACAATAATAACATTTATGCCAAGCTTTTGTTTACACCAACCCCAGTCATTTTGAGTTCCATCTAGTTGTTGAACCATGAAATTGTCAAAAGTAGTATATTCGGTTGGGTCATTTTCGATCAACGCGGGGAGTTAACATTTGCAACAACATTATTCGACTGATAATGGTCTATCCTTCAGTTGGTATTATAATAAGTGATTGTTCTCATTCTCAACTCTTCTTGAAACTTCATTTGATTTTGAAGAAGTCTCTGTTTCAGATTCAACTCCTCCCAAATTTTTGTTCTATCCATGTAGAGGTAAGGCTTCGGACTTTGGTATTGATTTAACCATTGGACGTGTACCCTTTTAGACTCACATATGCTGAATTTTTCAGCACCACGATTGAGTAATTTGTCACCACTGCTATGATGTACCAAATGCTGAAGCTCTAACGTTTTCTCAAACATTTTATGCCCTTTACAGTGAAGTATCATAACACCATTGTTGGGACCACTCTTTACAATTTCGGCATAACATTTAAGTGGTGAGTCAGTGCTTTCCAGCTCAGTTGTGGGTATAAAACAAACTTCTTTAAGTGTATAAACATGGTAGATGTTCATCAACCATCATAGTAGCCTTTATGTTGTTTTTCATTGCTTGTTTTTGCTTAGCTTTTGTTTTTGCAGGATCTTGACCATCATAGAGGTTGGATGATTCAATAATGAATGGCTTAGCTTCTTTTGCTTGCATTTTGTCGAACACCTGAGATACATTACTGCAGCCCCTCTGTTTTTGTTTTTGCTCACTCTTTGTACTAGTCAGAATCTGGAAGATCTACTCCACTGCTCTATGGGTTTTATCCGTTTTCGTCTCCAAATTAATTATGCAAGCATTCTGTGCCTCCCACCATTTTGGAGGAGTTGATTTAGTCGTGGTATGCTTTGCCATCTTGGTGAGATCGTCAAGCTTCTTTTGAATCGTAGAAAGATTAATTGAGTTTGTCATACCTTGGTTCTTTGTTTCAAGCTACCAAGAAATGATGACTTTGAATACCAATTTGTTATGACCCTAGTGTGATTAGAGAAGAAAATTATAGGAAGAATAGATAAAGGAGATAGACGAAGAACAAAGAAAATAAATATTAAGGAGAGAAAAGAAGATATTCAAAGAAATTTACAATTCATTCAATCAAAATATAACTTTCTCCTTCTCTAGTACATAATTTTATATAATTACAGTGTATTAAGACTAACGTTTGCTTGACAACTAAGACATATTCTTCTCCTGGATTGCCGATTGAATAACTGTTAGGCCTCATTTCTCTAGCTTCATCTTATCTATCAGCATGTGACTCATTTTCTTCACCCTTTATTTCAGAATTTTTAATCCCTAATTTATACTTTTCTTTTGTAATCCTTAATTTATTTTCTAAATCTCCAATGCTCTTCCCCTCGTGCTTCTCCCCCCCCCCCCCAACTATGACATAAAGATAGCTGGATTCTCCTAAATGTAGGGTAACTCGAGGAAGAAGCTGATAAGACTTATGGTGGATTCCACTGTCATATACACGTGAACCAGAAAAGGCTGCAAATGAAACACCATGGGCTGCATCTGGAAGCACGTATTATCAGGTTGAAAGACTTGCTGCTGAGATGAAAACAGCTAGGAAAACTCAAGCCATTCATTTGGATTAGTTATTAGCCATTTGAAGTGAACTCCATGAAGTAGAGGCTGTCTTCTTTTTCTTAAAAATATGAATGGGATCATTGTTTTGGTGAGCTTAGCTATACTATACAATCTTGTATGTTCGAATCATTATACAAGTATTTTCGTTGATAGTTAAATATTTTATAAAATAAGGACGTTCATTTGTTACTAAAATTTATACTTTTTATTATATAAATCTTATTAATTTGGTTTTAGTTTGAAATAACTTAATAACTTTAATATTTTTATTTAAATTTTTATCGAATTCATTATTGATTTTAGTATTTCAAATACTATCAAAATGATGTCATTTTTATATAGAAAATATTGAAATATTGTACTTAGAGGGATTTAAACTCTAAACCTATGGAATAAGATGTTAAACTTTAACCATTAGGTCAATTTGATATTTCGTTATATATATATATATAGATTTTTTAAAATTCTAAATTGTAAGATTAATTCTAAAATATAAAACAACCTATAAACCTAAAATATTCAATATTCTTTTATTTTCTTCATCCCAATCTTCATCTAGATACCTATATTTTCTTATTCATTTTCATTCATTCATCTTTTGGTGAGGTAATTACCTCAACATCGCCACAATGTATAATTAACATGTCATTTTCTTATTAAGTCATTAATGATTGGATATTATAATTGTACTTAAAAATAAATATTAAAATTAAATTGATAAAATTAAAAGTTTAATTGTATAAACAAGTGCTTGAAATTTGATAGTATTTGAAATATTTCTCTTATTTTTATTCTATATCACTTATTATATTATATTTTAGGAAAATATACACAAATAATTCATGATTATAGGGTGTGTTGTTTTGTTGAGTCATTAATTATTGAAAATTACAAAATAGTCTTTCGATTGAGCCTTACGACTATTTAAAATTACAAAATGATCATATGCTAATTAGGATATGATCAAAATTATATTTAGTTGATGTCTACTGGTACCGTCATTGTTTTTAAGCAACTCATCGATATAATATTTGAAGCAATAACTCGACGACATAATATAAAGGAAGAGTCGATCTACAAAACACAACTTAAATAGTTATATGATCATAATTTTAATATATTCCAAGCCAGGAGATTGACGTCCATCTTAGATGACCGTCACTTTTTTTATATTACTAATTTTTAGTATCAGAGGTCATTACAAGATAGTATATGTTCAGGATATTTCTTAATCATTGCATGCATACACACACATCTCACAAAACACAACTACTCGAATTTAATACTTTTAAGGAGAATACTGTTTTATTTAACTACTAAATTCACTTTATAAATATTATAATAGTAATTTATTATTATTTTATAATATAATGTAATTATTCAATTGCAGCTATGCTTGATTTGGCGGTAGTGGTCCAGGACATTGAAATTCTATTGAATTCAAATTGACGTTCAAGGAATTCTCTAATAATGGAAACCCCCTCTCGTATTCTATATTTAACAAAATCCAATGTATTGTTGGCAATTTGGGGCCAATGGGATCTGGAAACAACAGAGGCCAAAACAAACACGATGAGAAAACAACTCCGTTTGATCTCTCGATGGGCAAGATAATATTAAGAAAATTCACAGCTCAGCTGTGGATTTTCTTTATGCTAAGATCATTTTATAAATTTTGATCAAATGATTTCTTATTGCTGTTAAACACTTTATAATTTTGGGTTTCAGAGGAATTTTGTTTGTTGATTTGATATCACGAAGAAGAAGAAGAAGAAGAAGAAGAGGAACGAACAATGAACTGCTTTTCCTGTTGTATGTCGGAAGAGAAAATAAGAAGCAGGAGGACAAATGCCGAGAATGACTTCCCCGATGAGCCCAATACGATAAGAGCTATGCTTTCGTTTGCCAATATTTCATTCAAGAGTGGTACAATTTCCTATAATTTCTCTTTAGTTTTTCTTATAATCAATGAACATGCAATGGAAGGAACATGTTCTTACTTCCTATATTCATGGATACAATCTGTTTGATGAAATGGGCCTTTGGAATAGAGGTTAATTTGATTGCAATTGCTGAGCATGCTCGTCTTTGTCTATGTAACTACGAACTTGATACATTTTCGTTCATGGATATGGAAATATAAGTCTTGAATGCTCATGTTGAATACGTATCCGTGTTTGATACTCGCATCCGAGGAATAAAGTAGTTGAAAACTAGAGCTTAAAGGTGGTTCATTGATTGATATTTTGAACAAAAATTTCCTCTTTTATGGTAGATGGAAGCCGAAAGAGATACATTTCCGAGGAAATCGTAAAAAGGGGTAAAAACAGTGCGACTGCAAAGACTTTTAATTACCGTGATCTATGCACTGCAACTAACAACTTCAACCCAGAGAGTCAGCTTGGTGAAGGGGGTTTCGGAAGGGTCTACAAAGGGCAGGTTGATAACCCGAATCAGGTTGTTCACATGTACATACATATATATATGTGTACACGTATATACATGCATATCGTATAGATGTACTGAGATATAGTTGTTACATTATATCAGGTTGTTGCTGTCAAGCAACTTGACAGGAATGGATACCAAGGGAACAAAGAGTTCCTTGTTGAGGTCTTGATGTTGAGTTTACTTAACCATCCAAATCTTATGAGTTTGGTTGGATATTGTGCCGATGGGGATCAAAGGATTTTGGTCTATGAATACATGCCTAATGGTTCCTTGGAGAGCCACCTTCTAGGTATGTTTTAACATCTAAGTTTGTTTTCTTTACTCGGATACAGATAATGTGACTCGGAACTTTCAAGGCCTTCTTTCCACCATTTGTTCTTTGGATGATTCTGATGTTTGAAAGTGTTTAATGATTTCGATTTGTATGATGTGGGTTTTCTTTTGGTGAAACGTATTCAGTTGTTTGTGATTATGCCTTTCAGACATACCCCCACACAAGAAGCCATTGGATTGGGATACCAGGATAAAAGTTGCAATCGGTGCGGCTAAAGGCCTTGAATACTTGCATGAAACAGCTGATCCCCCGGTGATTTACCGTGACTTTAAAGCATCAAACATATTGCTGGACCAGGATTTCACTCCGAAGTTATCGGATTTTGGACTTGCAAAGATCGGTCCAACCGGAAATAAGTTGCATGTTTCCACCAGGGTTATGGGAACCTATGGCTACTGTGCACCTGAATATGCACTAACAGGCCAATTGACTACGAAATCAGATGTTTACAGCTATGGGGTCGTGTTTCTGGAGATGATAACGGGAAGAAGAGTAATAGACACTTCGAGACCAACAGAAGAACAGAATCTTGTCAGTTGGGTAAGCATGGAATGTTTTATTTCTTCTAAACAATCATGAAACCGTGTCACCTTTATACAAGTCTAACTTCCAAACATATGCCTTTTTGGCAGGCAACACCTTTATTCAAAGATAAGAGAAATTTCTCACAAATGGCTGATCCATTATTGCAAGGGAATTATCCCAATAAGGGTCTCCACCAAGCACTCGCAATTGCAGCAATGTGTCTGCAGGATGATGCGGACGCTCGGCCTACTATGAGCGATGTGGTAACCGCTCTTGAATACTTAATCACAGGTAATGTACCGAAAGAAGAAGAAGATGACGATGGCAATGAAGAACAAGAAGGAAAAGGCGGCAATGAAGAACAAGAATAGGCAGGGTTATGGAGACAGTCGGAAACCTCGGAAGAAGGGGCAAAGGGACAAGAAGAGGGTTAATGAAGCTTATCAGAACTCGTTTCGTGGACCTGAAACTCGAAATCTTATTTCCTTTCATGGGCTGCTTTTGTAAGATGGTACATGGAAAGGATATTTTGATGATAAAATGGCTAATGGCCATGGCATCTTTGAATTTCATGGAGCTTTTGCCATGCCAAGGCATGCAATATACAAATCCATCAACCCAATTTTGCCTTTTGTTCCTTTTGGGGTTTTCATAAATAGCTTAAAATTTGTTAAAACTTGATTTGTTTATTCTTTCTAATAGTTAGAATTGGAAGAAATTTGATTAGACAATTTTAGCATGATTTAAAGCTTTAAATGTATATTTCAAATTAATGGCAAATATGCAATTTCCTTATATTTCATTCCCTAATTTAAAAATAATAATAAATAATAAACAATACAGAAAAGAACAAGATATTTGCATAAATGGCAGCTACAAAATGAAATGGTCCACTCAAGAGTTTACAAAAGTGAAGAAGAAAAATAAAATTTTGGGGCCAAAAATTAATTAAAAGTCATAAAATTTTAAAAGGGTTAAATAAATCATAAATTTACCATTTTAGGGTCTAAAATAGAATTTCACCATCATGTTAATCTAAACTTTTATGAAATCTGAAGGGACTAAAACTAAAATTTATCATATAGGTCCCAGCTTATAAGGAGTATATAATTTATAGTAATTTCTGTTTTTTTGAGACTGTGGAGAGTTTTACTTTTACTTACCCTCTTAAAACGAAAGGAAAATAAAGGGTTTTAGGCTTCTCATCTCTGTCTCTTCATGGCCTCAGCTCTGCAACTCCAGCAGTCACAGTCCAACTTGTAAAAACCCTCCAGAAATCTCCACAATCTTGACCCTCAATTACCCAATTTTTTCCCATCTCTGCCACTCAACAAAAAGCAAACAAAACGGCTTCCTGTATAGTGAACAATTCTAGCGGCAAGCTAGCTAGACTTGCAGATATCATGGCTGCTATCGGGAGTTTTTCTTCCACTTCACAAACTGCCGCTACCCCTTTTGGTAGTAGACCAATTTGCCCTTCTTCTTCTTTTTGGTTTTCCTGGTTTGGTTCCCGTTCCAGGCACCACTTCTTTGCTTCTTCCCGAGCCTTGCAGAGGTTCACTCTTCCACTTCTTTTCCGCATTGTTTTTGTGTTGTTCTGGGTGTTTTTAGCTAGTTTCTTAGACTATTTGATACCCATTTGTCCTTTCATATAGGTCTTTTTCTTTATTGAGTCTATTTGGTTTTCGTTTCATTAGCTGCTGCTTCATGTTTTAGAGGGGTTTAGGGTTTATGTAATGGAAAAGGTTCTATTTTTATTGTTTTCTTCCTGTCCTTTTGCTGTGTTTCTTCCCCTCATTATCTGGTTTTATTAGATTATGCGATGCTGTTGCCTATTCTAGAGGGTTTTGGGGTTAGTGATGGAACGTTATGGTAAAATGTGATATAAGATGTACATAAGCTATTGGAATGGAAATGTAATAGTGCTTAAGTTTCTAGAATTCAATTTTCCTTCAGGTTATGGGAAATAAAATGGGCCAGTGGATTTGTGGTTGATGTGATGGTCTGATTGGAGTGGGGGGTATACGCATGAAATCTGGATTTTTTTCCTTTTGTTGTTAAATTTCTTATAGATGACATGCTAGAATAATGCTTCATTCAAATTAATAGGTATTTCTTCTATTTTTTTTCTTCCCCCCCCCCCTCTTTTTATACATTGCAGGCGAGAAATGTGGACAATGCAGAGTGTTCACTGTGCTTTTCTCGGTGCGACCATGACAAGTAGTTCCCGTCATTACCAGCATCCCAAAGATATGAAACTTAAGGTAGCTGCTTCTGAGTACGCTAGGATGGTCTACCCTGAACCAGATTGGCATGTTTCGGATAGCAAGTGCAAAAGAGTGAACAATGACCACAGAAAGAATGAGAACCCAGAAACTTATGGAAACTCTAGAATGGCTCCATTTCGAGTGAATGATTTTAATTTAACTCTGAAAATTCCTAGCATGGCCAATGCTGAACGCTCATGGGAAACAGAAGCTCGCATGTTGAAGCAGAATAAGGAGATGGCGAAGGAGAGTTTTAAAGGTTGTAGTTCTTCCAATTTCCAACAATACTTAAATGTGAAGCTTACTGGCTCACTATTTAAAGAAACTAATAAAGAAGGATCAGTCTCCGGAAATAGTGGGAAAAGTATTACTCTTTTTGGGAGTCATTGCCCATTCCTACCTACCAGTAACGATCAAATGTCCATAGAAAACAGTGTAGCTACTGATGAAGTAAATGGTCTTAAGCAGCTGAAAGGTTCTGGCAGGACTGTAGTTCCAAGTAATGGATCATTTCCAGGGCTGGTTTTGGACGACCACCAAGAACTTGGATCCAGTGGAGATACTGTTTTTCGTTCTGAGGATCATTCTCCACGCCATCCATCTAGCACTAAACAAATTTCTAGAGCGAAAAGTACATCTACCAAAAGGATAAATGGTTCCAAGCAGTTAAAAGATTCAATTGGAGCAGAAGTTTCGGGTGATGGCTTATCAGAAGGGGCAATTTCAGATGACTTACAAGACAGAGGACATATGGATCCTAACACAATCACAACGGGAAAAACCAATGGAAATGGGGTTGCGAGCATTGAAGAAACTGACCTAGTTTATCAAGATGATATTCACAAGCAGCTTGCTAGGATTTATGACAAGGTTCTTGTTGTAGATAATATCTCTGCTGCAAAGGAAGTTGTTCTGTTGCTTACAACTAAATACAGGCATCTTGTTCATGCATGTGATACTGAGGTATTAGTTCTGCTAGTTTCAATCTCTTTTACCATTTTGTTGTATGTGTACTGTAGTACATGCTGTATGGAATAGGAATCTGTTCCAACCACCATCCAGTCCAAATGTAAATGAGCTATTGTCTATTTGCTGATGTCGAATATTCGCAGGTTTCTAATATTGATGTCAAGCAAGAGACGCCTGTTGATCACGGTGAGATAACATGTTTCAGTATTTATTCCGGAGAAGATGCAGATTTTGGAAATTGGAAATCCTGTATCTGGGTTGATATCCTAGATGGTGGTGGCAAGGATCTTCTGAAGGAATTTGTGCCGTTTTTTGAAGACCAATCCATCAAAAAGGTGTGGCACAAACTTTTTTTCTTTGCTTGTTATTGCATAGCACTATACCATACTAAGTCGTGAAACAAACTTGATGTTGATGTATAGGTGTGGCACAATTATAGCTTTGACAGTCATGTTATTCATAACTATGGGCTTGAGCTTTCTGGATTTCATGCTGACACAATGCATATGGCACGGTTGTGGGACTCATCGAGACGTACAACAGGTGGTTATTCTCTTGAAGCACTTTCTGGTGATTCAAATGTGATGCAAAGGACTAAAATGCGCAGAGAAGAAAAGGAACTGATTGGTAAAACATCAATGAAAACCATTTTTGGCAAGAAAAAAGTTAAAAAAGATGGAACAGAGGGAAAAATGATCACCATTCCCCCTGTTGAACAGTTACAGCGGGAAGAACGCAAATTATGGATTTGCTATTCTGCCTTAGATTCAATAAGCACTCTGAGACTTTATGAGAGCTTGAAAAACAAGCTATCGAGCATGTATTGGGTATTTGATGGTAAACCGGTTCCTGGTAAGTCCATGTATAACTTCTACGAAGAGTATTGGCAACCATTTGGTGAGCTTCTTGTTAAAATGGAACGTGAGGGTATGTTGGTTGATCGGACTTATCTTGCTCAGCTAGAGAAGGTTGCTAAAGCCGAGCAAGTGATTGCTGCTAATAGGTTCCGCACATGGGCATCCAGATATTGTGATGATGCCAAGTATATGAATGTCGGAAGTGATACTCAGCTCCGCCAGCTTCTTTATGGCGGTATTCTTAACAGGTACTAATTGCATATTTTGTGTTCAATAACTTAAGTATTTATCAACACATTGCATTGAAATTTAGGCATTATGTTCAATAAATGAACAAGATGCATTTTATCATTCCCTAAATCAGAATCACTGTCACTATGGTAATTATATGTCTGGATTCAAATTTCTTGCCGTTAAGTCGGTGATTGTGTGGTTGCAGTGCAAGATATGTTACTTGGACTTGGGTGTTAGTGTTGGACATGGGTACAATAAAAAATGAAGAGTCTGAGCATGATTGTGTGGTTGCAGTGCAAGATATGTTACTTTGACTTGGGTGTTAGTGTTGGACATGGGTACAATAAAAAATGATGAAGAGTCTGAGCAACATAGGTGCAAGAAATTCAGAAACTTAATGTTGCTTATGAACATTCATTTCCTATAATTTATGGAATTATTCACTCTCTCAACCAAACAACTATTATTTTTCATATGTGCTTGTGTGTGTTAAGGATCCAAATTTTCATCTTTCTGATTCGGAAACTTTCTGGGTGCAACCAGAGAGGGGGTCTCTTGAAAATTTGAAAGTAAAGTTCCCAACCATTAACTTGACTATTTCTTATTACAGTAAGGATCCAAATGTGAGTCTTCCTGATGAGAAGATTTTCAAAGTTCCAAATGTTGATAAAGTGATTGAAGAAGGCAAAAAGGCTCCTACAAAGTTTCGCAATATTAAGCTGCATAGCATTGGTGTTAAGCTCCCTGTTGAGATTTACACTGCCACTGGTTGGCCCTCGGTTAGTGGTGTCGCTTTGAAGAGCTTAGCTGGCAAGGTTTCTGCTGAATATGATTTTTCTGAGGCCACCAATGATGGTGATATTGATGATCTTCCGGAAACAATGACTGATGTTGATACATCTGAATATGGAACTGCTTTTGCTGCATTTGAGGATGAGGAAAAGGGGAGGGAGGCATGCCATGCTATTGCTTCATTATGTGAAGTTTGCTCTATTGATTCGTTAATATCCAATTTCATTCTCCCGTTGCAGGTTATTTTGATTCCTCATTTGATTGTTCATACATGTTGATCGGCTTTTACAGTTGTTTTGTTATGCCCATTTTTCCTCTCTAGTATCTTTTTATTTGTTTATATTTGAGGGCTCATGCTATTTGCTTATTGGTCATAATTTCTACTCAATATGAGAGCTGTGCATGTCCTCCATGTGGTGATATTATTATGAGGGTGACAACATGAGTACAATATGTCTTTTCCTGTCAATTATAATTCATCATTAGCAGAGGAAGGTATCAAAATGCCGGTCTGATATTTGATCATGTTATTAGTTGGTGCTGCTAGGTGTTAACAAATTGGTAAAATTATGTATACCGCCAGGGATCAAAAGGATATGTAATTATAATCGCAGTTACTTAAATTATATGCCAAGTGGTCATGTACCTGGAGTATATTATTGTGAATAGTTGTTTGGCTAAGAAGAAAACTTTGAAAGCAACGTCTCTCTCTGTCTAAATGATCATGAAAATTAAGAAGGCATTGTTTTAAATTCCTCCGTAACTTCAGCTGTTATTTCCTTTCTCTTAATTAATTTTATAACTTAAATACCTGGATGGTTTATAATGAGAATGCTCTTCTTTTACTGCAGGGGAGTAATGTGTCAGGTAAGAGTGGGCGTGTTCACTGTTCACTGAATATCAATACAGAAACTGGGCGCTTATCTGCAAGGAGACCAAATTTGCAGGTTCAGTTTTCATTTATTTTGTTCTCTGCCATTGTTTTAGCTAGCATTTGAATTATTAGAGCCTTAAGGTTCTATATATGTCTATAGCTACCATGCCACTTCAATAGCATTAGACCAAAATTTTATTCGTGATGAAGCACAGTGGACTATGTTTTTCTTTAGGTTATATATATTAGCCTAAATATCCATATCACAGGATAGTTTTCTACTATGTAATCATGATCATTTCCTCCACAAAGTTTGCCATAGTAAGGCGTGAAGAAAACAAAAAGATAATTCTTATTACTCCTCTACAAGTCCTTCACTTGCCTGCTGGATCGGGATTGGTAACCTATAATCTTAACATCTTTCTTGTATTTTCTTTTTCAAACCAGAATCAACCTGCACTAGAGAAGGATCGGTATAAGATACGTCAGGCCTTTGTAGCTGCCCCGGGAAATTCCCTTGTTGTGGCAGATTATGGGCAGGTAAGTTCATTGTGCTAGCTTCTTTTTTCATGTAATTCCATGTATTGATTATAACCTAAATTCATATTACAGCTGGAACTTAGGATTCTTGCACATCTGGCTAGCTGTAAAAGCATGTTGGATGCCTTCAAAGCTGGTGGAGACTTCCATTCGAGGACTGCAATGAACATGTATTCTCATATCCTTGAAGCTGTCGAAAAGGGGCACGTTCTTCTTGAGTGGCATCCTCAACCTGGTGAAGAGAAACCACCAGTTCCACTTTTAAAGGTAAGTAAAAAAAATCCCACTTTGCCTGAGTTTTATGTACAGAACGTTAGGTAGATATCTGGTGACAAGGATTGGGGTAGAAATTATCCAAAAACTATCTTAATATATTGAACTTGTAACGCTTATCCTGTATTTGTCAGAAAAATAATAAAAGTAACCTTTATCCTGAATACTTGTATTAGATGTCTTGCCATATATCAATGACTGGTTCAAGTATGACCTAAATTGCTTTTTCAATTTGAAGGTTATTAAGTACTTGATGTTTTATGTTGAAATCGATGTGGCATTCTTACTGGTTTGCTCAACATAGTTTATTTATAAATGTAGTCAGGACATTGATGTATAAAAGTCTGCCTATCATGAGACCTTGCTACCTGATAATTAGGTTTGTTTTTTTATTGTTGAATACAAGTGGGCTGATTTTTTTTCTTCTTTTCAGGATGCCTTTGGTTCTGAAAGAAGAAAAGCGAAAATGCTCAACTTTTCCATTGCATATGGAAAAACTCCTGTGGGGCTTGCCAAGGATTGGAAGGTATCCTTGGAACCTAAAATAATGGCTGAAACTTAAAATTCATTAAGTCTGCACGTTAATGGTTGTTGCAACTCTCTCAGGTTTCTGTTGAAGAAGCAAAGAACACAGTTGATCTATGGTACAGAGAAAGACAAGAAGTGCTTGAATGGCAGAAAAAGCGTAAATTTGAAGCTCAGAAATTTGGTTGCGTTAAGACATTGCTTGGAAGGGCTCGCCGCTTCCCATCATTTGCTCAGTGTACACGTGCTCAAAGAGGTCATATTGAACGGGCTGCTATCAATACTCCAGTGCAGGTTCTTATCTTCCTCATGCTCTCAACTAACTCCCTCTCTCTCCCCACTCTCTCATCTAGTTGTTTGTTACAGGGGAGTGCTGCTGATGTTGCAATGTGTGCCATGTTACAAATATCAACGAATAAACGTCTAAAGGAGCTTGGTTGGAGGCTTCTTTTACAGGTTATTCCTTTTATATTTTCATAAGTTAATTGCACAGTAGGTTCTCAAACTATGACCCCCACTCAAAATTGGTTCCTAAACATTGAAATGTGTCCCTAAACTATGAGCTCATTCTAAATTGGTCCATAAACTTTAGAACATTCTATATCAATCCTCAAACTATCAATATTATTTTATTTTAACCCTTCGGTTAACATATTGTTAAATCTATTTGTTAAAAAATTAGTAATATATTTTTGAAGGTCTTGGGAATTGAACCTGGTTTAATTTATTTTTGAAGGTCCTGATAATTTGGTTAGAAGGTCATGAGTTCAACTCATTGTACCTTCAAAAGCAAATTAATTTTTTAAAACTAATATAGTTAATGGTAAACATTAACGTAAGGATCAAATTGAATGATATTGATTGTTTGAGGTTAGGTATAGAATGTTTTAAAGTTTAGAGATTGATATATAGAGCATTTTAAACTTTAGGGAACAATTTAGAATGTGGGTCATAGTTTGGGGACCTCCTATGCAATTATTTATATTTTCATCTATATAATTTTTTTTTTCTTTTAAGTAACAAATATAGACTATGCTGTGTGGTTCTTCCTGGAACATAGTTACTTCCGTGATGGTTTCACTAATCTTTGCATTCCATTACCAATGCTTTGGTTATACGTATTATTCACAAATTTGCACACATTTTGGTAGGCCTGTAAATGAACTGATCGTTCAGCAAATTGTTTATGAACCGTGCGGCGGGAAGTTTGTTTATGTCTGTTTATTTATTAAATGAACGAACATGAACAAGATGCTGCTTTCGTTTAATTAAATGAACAAACAGAACAAATGAATCGTTCGTTCATTTACGTTTGTGAACGTTCGATTATATGTTCGTTTATGTTCGTTCATTTATGTTCATTTATGTTCGAACAGAGGACAAATTGAATATGTTATAAAAATTATTGAAGTTTGGATTTCAAGAAGATTGTTTTGTTGAACAAATTAACTTTAAGATTTTATTATGGTCATATAGCTTATTTATGTTTTATGTATTTTTGTCGTATTCGAACAAATTAATTCTAAAATTGCAGGTTATATTAATGAATTTTAAGTTATTCTTGTTGTTTACTTTTTTTTACATTCATTTGTTGTGTTCGAATAAGTTTGCTTTTTGTGTTTATTATGTTCGTTTATGTTCATTTATTATGTTCGTTTACGTTCGTTTATCATTTAAATGAACGAACATGAACAAGTTATATTTCTTATTGAACGAACATGAACAAATTTTTTTTTGTTCGTTTATGTTTATGTTCGTTTATTTATTAAATGAACGAACATGAATATACTTCCGTTCGTATGCGTTCGGTATGTTTACATGCCTATATTTTGGCTTTCTTGTACTTCATAATCTCAGTTCATTTGTATACTTTGTCTTGTACGTCTACATAATCTCACAAATTTGCGCATACTTAACAAAGCAGGTTCATGATGAAGTAATCTTGGAAGGACCAAGTGATTCAGCCGAGATTGCAAAAGCAATTGTCGTTGACTGCATGTCGAAACCCTTTGGCGGAAAGAACATTCTTAAAGTTGACCTTGCTGTTGATGCCAAGTGTGCCCAAAACTGGTATGCTGCCAAATAGACATTGTTCTGGGATCCGAACAAGTAAATTTTGGTTTCAAAGACTTTCTTCCAAGATGCTTTTTTTTTACCTTTGAAGAGGAATATCAGAGCTAGCATAGCCCTCGGCTGCTGCAGTATTTTAATGTCTAAGGCTGTTCCTTGGGCATTTCATCTTCTGTTCAGTGATGTAGCTGTTGGGGTTCTTTGCCAATCCGGGGGTATGCTTTGGGGCTTTAGTTGCATTTCAAGGGCATGGGTATTGCAGCTGTATAAAGATTATTGTTGTATTAGTTAGTTCTTTGTAAAATTCTGATTACGCTGATTCTTTTATCCAAGTGAGAAATGAAGGTAAGCTTGATTCTGTTCCCTTTTTTGTAATTCTCATTCTCTAGTTTTATACCTGCAAATAGACATGCACAAAGTTGAATAAAAAATCGATTCGGATGGGATAAAAATCGATCCGGTTTTTATACCTAACCAAAAAATCGAATTTTAAAAAAATCGGTTTGGATCCTAATTAGTTTGGAGGACCTGATGGTGTAATCGGTTTCGGTTTGAAAAAAACCGATTTTTTTAAAAAATCAGATATAAAAAAATCGATTTGTAGTCATGATGAATAAAAAATTATAAAAATAAGATTTGAGAGATGTTTAGATGTTATGTAATAAGATTTGAGAAAGTTGTAATCAACCAAATACATCTACAATCTATTTATACATGTTTAGGGTGATAAAATGGTGATTTTTTTTTAAAAAAAATAGTCACAAAAGTCCTCCAACGACTAGGTTTTAAAATCTCAAACCTGATTTTTTCCGGATAAAAATCAGTTTTTTTCAAACCAAATTTTAATCCGATAAAAAAAACCGATCATCCAATTTTTTTCTAAACCGGTTATACTATCCGATTTTTAAATATCAGATCCAGTTTAAAAAAATCGATTTTTTCCAAATCCAATTTTAAATATTTTTTACGTAAAATTAAATATTCAGATTTTTTGTGCATCTCAACCTACAAAGCACAAGTGCTGCTAGAACTTTTAAATGTTATGATCCAGATCTGGCCCAGGTTGCTTTATGTTGATTAGGGGAAAATAGGTAAAAGCTGGCGCCTTGGATATTACTGTTAACAGTGATTTGCATTTTGGAAACCCTTTTTTCCCTTTTCATTTGCCATTTCGTGTAAAATAAATGCACTGAAACAGTATCCTAATCAAGAAGTTAGCAAGCACAACACAGGATGCCAAAAACCGGCAGAAATTACTTATCAGACTGTTGCAGATTAATTCCCCAGGCCGATACTAACTGAAATAGAAGTTGATCAGGGGCCACACCTTCCCAGTCCTCAGGTGGATCCATTGATGAAGTTGCCTCGTGTAAATTCAACAAAATCTCCTTCAACTGCATGGGAATACCCAATGCATCAGGTCCATTTTCTAACACCACTTCGACCAACTGAAAAGGTTATAGGAGAATATGAGTAATTAAAAACTTGAGAAATAAAGCAGCTTGAACTAAAATGATCAAAGATTTAAGAATCCATACATGCTGAATCCAGGATAGGCAGATATCAAACAAGTCCTAGTCCAGAAGAAACCGCACAATTGCATGCAAGGCCTCATTTACTATCTCGTTTGATAGTTTTTTTTTTATAAGAATTGGAAGCCTCGTTAAAACCCTCCTTCATAATCATCAACATACTAAAACGTATGTTAACGAAAATTAGGAGGAAAAGAATACCTCATGATTTATTAAATAATAAAACCATTACACCTTATATGAAAAAACACCCCAATAAGATACATACACCACATCTAAACCATAAAATCTCTAAATCCCCCTTAAACATGCAAATATTACAAGGTCAACCCGATATGATACCCGCTCACACCTATCCCAAGCCTCACACCACTAAAAACCAAAAATATTCGAAAGCAGTACATAAATCCATTAATATAATTAAAACACAATCGACTCCTAACGACGAACCATCTATATCTTGGAGATGCAACACACTCGAATCAATTAAAATTCCTTCCAAAACCGCTAACAGACTAAAACCCAATATTCGTCCGAGACGGTTAAGCCACTTTAGCCTTTTGCTTGCTACTTTTAGATTCGTGAGGGTTTTTTTTTTTCATTCCGTATTTTGATCCCTTCCGAAGACCCTCTCCCTGCAACCGGTTAGAATCACCTATTGCCTCACTACTGAGACCGTCTTCCAGGGCATGAGACTCACCAACATTCTGATCTGATCGATCGAGGGCACAAGGTAAGGAAGACTCCAAAACTAAACATGACCTTGAAGCTAAACCTATCTCACCACCATTGGTTCCATCGCCAAGAACTTCTTTCCCCATCTGATTCGACAAGTTTTCCATCAATCCACGTGAAGAGGAACCGGTGTAGCCTCAAGGGAACATCGACCAGTGGGAGGAGCTTCAATTTGACTCACCATTGGATTTTTGGATTCGTCGTTGTCAGGGGCAATCGTGTCTTCTTCATCTTCCACGAGAACCCAAGGAATAGGCTTGAAACTCGGATCGATCTCGCGAACCATGACGTTAAACGATTAACCTTCAATCGTACTACCTCATCAATTCTAGAGATGATATTTGTCAAGATTTGGATTTTCACCCGATCCAAGGACGATGGATATTGGGATTTTTCATCTATTGCAATAATTTCCCCCTACTTTGATGCAATGTTTGTAAAGGTATCCCAGCTCCAAGCATGAAAAGGAATACCTTCGCAAACCAACCATATACGCAGACTCTCTACTATCAAGTTTTTTTACCATGATTCAACCCTGTCGAACCACACTGCCAGAGACTCCGAATTCTCTACCTTCATTCTATTCAGCAACATCGAGGATTCAAAACACATTAGGACAACATTTCCAGTAGCTCTCATCAACGAAAAACCCTTAAGACATTTTTCATGCATTTGTCTTGCAAGGTTCGAGATGGAGACAAAAATTCTACACCAACACACAAGGCATTTTTCTAGTACTCACAATTTATCTTCATCAACCACCCCTTCAATCGAGGATAGGCAACTCTTCTTGTCAGCTACCTCCCTATCCTTCTACTGAAAGGATGTATTAGTTCTTCTCCAGAAGGATTGCCTGGGCTTATATTTTGCCATCGAAACTCCAATCTTGCGTCCAAAAATGAAAGAGCCATCCATCCTAACAATTGCTTTCTTGGCTTCTTCAATTGAAGCAAATCTGATAAATCCAAAACGAATCTCCCGTATAGATTTTTTAGAAGGGATAAAAGCATCAATCACCTTTCCATGAATGCAAAAAAGAGGGCTAAGCTTTTTCCAATGAAGATTCTCAGGAATATTTTCGACAAATAACGTATAACATCCAGCCCTAATTCCCTTTTTTGTTGGTATGTATTTTTCCTTCCCCCATGAACTGTTAACCTTCCTCCAGACACTATTGTCGTTCCTCCCGTAATTATTTTTGATTCCAGCCCAAAACCCGTTGAAATGATCGCTCATATTTCACAAATCAACTTAAAAACAAAGACAGAAAACAAATTCAGACTTGACCTTTTAGTACTGCCGGACTAACGAAGTTGAAATCTCCTGGAACTGAAAAGTGGGATTTTTTAGAACTTCCGGCAGGGTATGGTCGGAATACTCCAGACACAGCAGCAATAAAATCGGCGCTGGAATTGGTTGTCCACATGCCGGCGCGTGAAGAAGAGGCTGTACTGTGTGGCGGCGCTTGAACTCAACGCGCTGGGTGAATGGTGACCAGGCTTTCCAGATCGGCCGATCGTCGAATGGTGTACCTCTTGGTGCTGGCGGAGTCGAGAGAACGGTCTCCAAAGGTCCCCGGCGAAAATGAAGAAACGACCTTCAACGGTAGATCTGCGCCGTTTGAAGGATTTTTTTCGCAAAACTAAGTTCGAAACTAGAATCACAGTGACGAGATGGACTTCCCTGAGAAAAATGGCGACGAAAGATGGTCGGAGTATAGCGGCGGACGGCGGTCAACGATGAATAGCGTTGGCGGACGGCGGAACGCACACCTGAGAACTAATGGGATCCCCAAAAACACCTAACCTTCTAGAGAGAATGGGAGCTTCTCTCTCTAACACGAGAAATCTCGTTTGATAGCTGGTCGACTGTAGGGCCTGATCTATCCATTAGTTTTATAAGCAAGAGATCATCCCCTGTAGACAAGACTTCAGCGAAAGCAGTATCCATATCACCTACTTGAAGGGATGCATTGCGTTGCTCCAAGAAGTCCGGACTGCATCTTGTTCCATTCCAACATTATTTTCTCCAACAGCTTCGGCAGTCAATTCAGGAACATGTTCTGTTCGAGATGCTACACTTTCCTCACCACCTACACAGATTGCTTCCAATGTAGCTTCGTCTTTTGATGCCTGCCAGACACTTCTAGCAGATGGCCCTTCATCAAGCCTCACAGGTCCAGGACCCTTATCCCAAGCTCTCTTGCCACCAACCTGATCACTCTCATGTTCTGATTTGGGTGATCTATCATCCAGGCTGCCGCTAGCAGGATCTCTTCTTGATGCAATTTGTCCGTTACTGGAAGACACTTCTAGCAGATGGCCCTTCATCAAGCCTCACAGGTCCAGGACCCTTATCCCAAGCTCTCTTGCCACCAACCTGATCACTCTCATGTTCTGATTTGGGTGATCTATCATCCAGGCTGCCGCTAGCAGGATCTCTTCTTGATGCAATTTGTCCGTTACTGGAAGCACCAAATGCAGGGAAATCCCAATCATCAGATATTTCAGATCTCCAAGAAGGTCACTTTTCCCTCCCACCTGGACCAGTTCCATCAGATCGTGCAAACCTCTCTCCAGATGGGATTCACCCACCAAACTTGGAACTATAGTCAGAGAAGCCATAGTACTTCCCTAAAGGCCTATTCAATGATGCTTCAAATCGTGGCTTAAAAGTATCACCTCTCCTGCTTGATGATATTGATAAATCCTGTCATATCTTCGATAGTTCTCTCAAGACCCCTAACTCTGTTTTGCAACGTTAGCATGCTATGATGAGAGCCACCCATAAAATCCTGCAACATGTTCATGAGATTCGTTTGCTGTCTCTCGAGCTGCAATAACTGCCTCTGAATAGCCAACCAATTTACTTTGCTTCTGTCGAAGGATCCCTCAGACTGTCCATCCACCTTTGAGAAACCCAAATGATTTCCAGATGTCTCCCTATGATTTACATCTATCCTGCCATCAGCATCAAATGCCCTTGTTCTTATGTCTGTACGATTTATCTCTTCTTCAGGCCATTTATCCCGCAGATTAGCAGCTCCACGCTCCAAGTTATGGTTTTTGCTGCAGGAAGTTGCAACAAAGTCATCTGTCTGT